ATACCGACCCGCCTTGAGCTCATGTGTGACCAGGATCATGAGATAACCTTGACTGATTTGAACTGATCCACACGGTAAATGGAGGTGAATGAAACACAGTGTTAACCGAAGTGTGGCAAAGGAATTAAACTGAAGCAAACCTTGACTTTGTCCAAGCTGGGTAGCCTCCTCGGGGCCTGGAGAGTTATCCCGAGGTTCAGATTTGCTAGCAGTGGTAGCCAAGGAGCAACACTTACTATGGGAAAATGTTTTTAAAATCTCCAAGAGATGATTCACTGTGCCTCCATGACTTTTCTAAATTTGGTGAAGAGGAATACCTCAGTATTCTCCGTTTTCTCCCAAAGTCAGATAATCATTCTCAAGTGGTTGCCAAGCATTTTTCAAACTGATATTTCTAGCTCCTTCCAAAACAGTCTGTCACTAAACTCACCCACTCTACAGAGGAGGGGGAGAAGGAGGGAAAGTCGCAGTGATATTACTTTTTATAGAGACACGAATTCTTCAGTTTTGTCAGCTTTTGAAGGGTAAGAAAGTGTTTCCAATCTTCTTACTCCTCTTGCCTGTGGGCACTCCACCTTATTCTAAGTCCACACCTGGTTCTTTGCACTTAATTATAAGATTCTTATTTTCTTTTAAAATCTGTCAGTATTTGCAATATGCCATGTGCTGTCATAGGCTCATCCAGGTGTTATACACTCATTGCATGCAAAAATTCATAGCAACCCCAGAAATAGGAACTGCTATCATTCCCACTTTAGAAGTGAAAAAAAGCTGAACCATGGAGATGTGAAGTAACTACTTAAGATCATGCAGAAGCCAGTGGCGGAGCTGGAATTTAAACCAAAGTTGTCAAGATCTAGGGTCTAAGTTTTTATCCAAAATACCACAGTTGCTTCTGTGATCTGTGGATTTGGAATACAACCAGGCACAAGAGACCTAAGAGAGATCATAGTACAGTGCTTAGTTGGTATCCTAAAGAACAGAGAATATAATTTAAGAGGTTAATTGAAGGGGTCATCAGAAAATTTAGGTAACTGATACGCACATAAATCAATGACGAAGAAAAACTTTTTTCTAGGAGAAATTGAAGAAGAAAAGGAACTGATATTTACTAAGCATTTATTATACAGAGTACAGGTGTCAGATGCTTTGGATATACTAAGTTATTTAGCAAACCTTTCCAAATTCCAATTTTTCCTTCATACAGCACTGAAAGTTACCTACCCTACTAATTTGGTGTCAGGGAAAACCTGAAACTTGCACCTACATAGTTGTAAAGTCTATTTTTTTTCCCATAACCCACTGTAAAACTTCAGTGCTCCTCAAAGCCAAAGCCTAGGAAAGAAAAGAGTTCCCACCTCAAAGCCTTCAATCTATGAAAGTACCACTCCTTTAAATAATAAAATTGTACATGAAAGAAATAAGTATCACTCTAAAACTTCTTTTCTTTCAGAACTTTTAAATAAGGTAATAGAGGAAAACACACACACACACACACACACACACACACAAATGCCTGATACCTACCCAGAAGATGTTATCAGAGACTGAAAGAATTTCCTCCATTCCCCTAAAAAGGAAGAAGGATAACCCCAGATCTCAAGGACAACACAAATTCTCCAGAAACTGCTCGAGTTGCTTAGCAGATCTTTTTAGTATTTGCAGCATATGTGAACTCTAAGATTATGAACCTCCTTTCTCCTTCTGAAGGGGTAACTTTGCAGGCTTAGGCCTCTAGCCGGGGAGCACACATCTGGACAAGAAAACCCATTATTCACTCAGGCTTGTCTTTGTTTGCCATGTTCACATGAATAACTCACGGCTGAGCAGCCTCTCGAATGGCGGCCTTGACAAGGCTGATGGGACAGCATCGTACACCAGATCCCAGCCCACCCTCCCTGGAGAACATGGAATACTGGCTCGGTTCATATTTCACCAAGACAGGCTCTTCAACTATTTATAAGTTGAATTGAAATTTCCACTACTCCAGCTGACACAACCAGCTTTATCTAGCAACGGATAAAAGAGGTCCAGCTGTAGGCTTGGGAAAGCTGGCTGTGGCAGAAGCCAATGGGACAGAGCAGGGACACTCAGCACCTGGCAAAAGTCACCACTTGGTCATTCATTCTTCTCCATCACCACCACAAAGATGGGATGAGTACAGTTCCTCCAAACTGGAATTCTGCTCATTCCTATTTGCAAGTCTGACTATGTAGATAGGCTATGCCTTATGCATACTTATTAAGAACTCATTGAAATTGTCACTTATCAGTATCTCATGTTCTGGTTCTCGAATAGGATTCTCTCCTCTAATTCAGTCTTATTCAATTTAAGATAAACTCATTCAGAACTTTTGTTATGTTGATTCTGGAAATTCAAAGATTGCTAAAGTTAAATCCTTGCCCTGAAATAGCTTAAAATGTAATAGGGATTGCACAAATAACCAGAAGATACTGACAAGAATCATCGCTCTGTGACAGAAGGCTGGGGGCTGGCACACAGCAGAAGAGGACACTTACTGGAGGCTGCAGGATTATTTTGTTGATACAAGTGCAGATCTAATCCTGGCTATGTTCCTCACTTTGCTTAATCCTCACAACAATCCTCCCCACCAGGCTGGTCCTATCATTAGCCTAATTTTTCAGTTAAAGAAACCTGGGCTCAGAGAGATTAAGTGATTTGTTCAATCTGACGCAAGTGGCGGGTATACAATTCAAACAGCCCAGTCTAACCACAAAGACCACACACTTACTTTCTTCTTAACAGCAATTTGCCAAGTTTAAAGTTCATGATTGTATCAACTATTATTCAATAAAAAATCATTAAATGTCTATTCCATTCAGAACACTCCAGGCAAGGGACATAAACTGTATCAGGGGTGGTTCCGGGGTTCTGGAGCTTGCCTTTGAAAATAAACTAAGACAGAGTTTTGAAGGAGATCAATCAGACATTCTGGAAATATTTATAGAGCACTGTTATATATCAGGAAACAGGCTTGCTTTTGAGAATATGGAGGGATCACAGAGTGTGTCTTTCCTCCTCTGTCTTCATGGAATTTATATTCTAGAAAAGGGTCAAATAAGCACCCATGGCATTAAACGTGATACTGGCTATCCTGAGAACAAACACAAGGGGTTAGAAAGCAAGGATCAGAAACTGAGCAGAAACTGGCATTTTGAATTGCAAGATCCATAAAGCTTCTTTGAAAGTTTAAGGTAACGTTTGATGAGTAAAAGAAACAGGTGATGTGAGGATCTGTGTGAAGAGTGTGGAGGGTCAGGCAGAAGCAAAAGCAAAGGTGAGGGCACCCGGGCAGGGAGGGCACCTGGAGGGCAGGGAGGCTGACCGTGGACCATGCCGCAGGGACAGAGGCTAAAAGTGATGCAAAGGGAGTAGACAGTCCCAAGTAGGACATCCAGAATGTCAGCAGCTAGAAGAGGGTTCCTGTTGTCTTCCAAAAGCGAAGAGAAACTCCTCAAAAACTGGATAGAGAGGTGGCATGCTCTGATAAAATTTTTAACTTCGCCCCAGCTGCCACGGAGAGAATTGATTGTGTGGGCACCCGGTAGAAACAGGGAGACAATTAGAAGACTTACACAAGCCTAAGTTCAAGATGATGGTGGGTTAAACTGAAGAGGAAACATAGAGGTTGTCAGACCGGGGATATATTTTTCACCATGGTGCTGACAGACTAGATTAGATGTGGGCTGCGAGGAAAGCAGAGACGAGCAAATGCACTTACAGTCCTGGAACCGTGCCTAGAACAGAGTTTGTACTCAATATGTGGAAATTCTCTCCCCTTCTCTCAGAACTTAATAAAGTTCATTTGGAGAAAATAAGGCACATCCAAAACTACCCAGCAGCCCTCTTAAGAGTGGCCCTGACATGCATCTAAACTGAGCTACAGTGTAGACGATCAAGTAGGTAATATCCTACATCAGGGGCTTTGATTCAACTAGTCAGTATCTCACAATAACAAGATTGTTGTGAAGATTGACTGATGAGCAGACTTCTGGTTTACCAAGTGTGAAGGAGCTCTTTGGTGAGGATGTCTGCTGTTACTATAGATAGGGTATGACTCTGTGTCTATTGAAAAGCTCAAATATTGCTTTCCAAGAGATGTTTTCCATCAAATGATTCCATCAAATGATTCCTCCTTCTTAGAGCCTCTCAGCACTCCTCTGTCTTTCCACCAGGACTCTTTTCAGTGTGAAATTTGCTATATACGTATGTAAGGTTGGTTGAATAGCCACCTCTTTGCCTGTAGTCCACCCTTTTTATCTTTGAAACAGTTCACCTAGGGGAGAAAGTGGTAGGCATCTAAAAATACATATTGGAAAAAATTTAAAATGTATTAAAATTCTTTTTATTCTTAGAGAACAAATGATCTACAAGGAAAATGTAATGACAGTAAGAATTGGGTATTTAGTTCAATTTTTAAAGTTCTATATATAGTCATTAATTATCTTATTAGTAATATACAAGATTTGCTTCAAGACAGCCAGAACTGACATGCAGGAATTGCTTCTTTCAAGCCATTTTGAACTGAAGACCAAAAAGAAAATATTTTTGATTTGTTTTGTTATGTTTGTTTATTTATCAGGGCTCTGAGATGCTTTTTGGGATTGACTAAGTATTGACTCAGGAAAACTGATCTCTGTAGCCCACTGCAGTGAACCAGCCTCAGGTGGATTTATAGTAGCAACCTCCTAATTACTGGTATCAACCTTGATCCCTTAGAAAATATCAGCACCACAGAGGGACTGATTCTTTTACAGTAGGAGCTACTTTTCTGCATCTTTCTTCTTCTCCCTCAGATAAATGCCACCAGTTGTACAATGGCCAGTGTTACTTTATCAGTCAAGGGTCTGGATGGAAAATAGGTGCATGATTAAAATGACAATTGAAAGTAAGTCTCACAAAGGGACTGTCCCATTGTACTTGGACTGCTACCACTAATTAGGCCTGTAGCTTATAAACAACTGAAATGTGTTTCTTACTGTTCCGTGGGCTGGGGAGTCCACAGTGAGGACACCAGAAGATTCAGGGTCTCCAGAAGCTTTCTGCCTTGTGAAAGACCTGTCGTGGGTGCACCCTCCGCTGTTCCATCCTATGGGCACTAATCCCCTTAGCCAGAGGATGAGCTGCTCACCTAAAGGCACCACCTCCACTACTAAGCTGGGGATTATTTCAGCGTATGCATTTGCGAGACTTAAATATTCAAACCACAAGAAGGGGCGTTTTCAAAGACAAGATAAGGGCTTTACAAAATCACTAGCACAGAGTGTGCTGACGGGGACACCCCACACAATGGGGACCTATATTATCACTCCTTGGTACCCAGATGAGGCAAGAAGATAAAAGTATTTACAGGAGGAAATGGGGACAGTATGCATTCAGTGTGGGCCCTCTCTGATCTACTCCCTGCCTTGTCATTGCCCTGCTGATGAAGCTGCCCTCACTTTGACACTCCCTGACATCCCAGGCACTGTAAAACTATGGAGTTTTACATTCGCTCTTCCCTCTGCTCAGAATACCTCTGAAAATGTCTGCAAAGCCCACTCCCTCATGTCAAGCTCATCTGTTACCTTCTCAATGCAACCTGCTGAAAATACTGTTTGCAATGATAAGCCTCCTCTTCTGCCATCGTAATCCCCTGTATCCCTCTTCTTTTCAATTTTCTCCCTTTTTCTACACTATTATATGTAGTGTGTATTTTCCCACACTATTATATATAATACGTATCTCCTGGTTCCTTGATAAAGTAGAAGCTCCAAAGAAATGATCTTTGTTTTATAAATTGATAAATGCTAATGCCTCGTAATAGTGCAAAACACATAGAGAGGAAAATAACCAACTTAAGTGCAGTATTAAAATGTCCTCATGTTGATTTTTGTTTATAAACACAGATAGAAATAAGTGACAACCAATCAGTTCTTCGCACCCCAATCTCAAGAGACTGATTAACTCTGATTAAATGGTGAATGGACTTCTGTTCCTCCAGAGGTAGTTTCACATAAAATCATGCCAGAGTGGAAGTTCTTCCTTTCATATTTCATTAAAGCACTGCAGTAACTGACAGTGAGTCATGGACACTATGATCCTTGAGTTAAATCCATCAGCATAGATGTAAGAAAGATCTGAAACTCTAGTGTGTCCCTTTGAAGACCCTAAAAATCCTCACACAATAATACAATGGAGTCACTTTCCAAGTAGTGCTTAATTGTGCTTAAGGAGGAAAAAAAAATACCGTGCATTGTGCAGCTGCATGTTTCGGTAACCCCTCAGAAGACTTTGTAGACTGGTAGAGTTAAAAGAGTATCTTCGCAAAAGTCCAGTAGCGTGTTCATAGATAGCTACATCACATAGCAAGTGAGTATCTTGCATGAAACAGAGAACACAGGTCCCTATCTCCCTGCCTCAGGGATCTTCCAACCATATGGAAAACAAACAAACAAACAAAAAAGAACTTAACCAAAACTCTTTGAAAGGACTGTGTGTGTGTGTGTGTGTGTGTGTGTGTGTGTGTGTGATTACTCTGTATTTAACTAACATAGAAAGACTTGGAGTCAAAATCAAACGTTAGTCCCCATTAGCATACAAAGAAACGTATATTGCAACAAATACATATGGTCCAATAATGACGATGCCCTTATAAGAAAAAATATGTGCCTAATAAACTTATGAGAGTACTAAACCCAAGTATAGCAGACCCACAGTGAGGAAAAATACTTTCTAATCAGGCTTCCCACGAATTGAAACAAGGATGGAAGTAGGCGATGATCTCATCTTTCCCATCAGTTCTTCCCCCACAAAGTAGGGAACTCTAGAGCTTATGCAGATGTACAAATCCTCTAGAGTTCTTAAAATGAAAGCATATTTTTATAGTGTCATCAGTAGCCATAAAAGCTTTGCCAACAGTATTTATGTGCATAATGGTAGCGTGTTTAAATGTTAGTTCAGCCTCTAATAAGAAATTACAAGTAAGGTAGTGTTTAAAAGCAGAACACTACCCTGCTTAAAATATCTAATTTATTTGAAAGCCAAAGAAAAAAGTTTCTCAATTATCCATCTGAAGTCACTCAGGATGACAAAGGGAACATCTACCTAAGGAGCTGTGGACCTCATAATAGAAAGAAACTTCCTTTAAACTTCCCCAATAAAGTAATATTTTTAAAGTAGGTTAGGCATATCCTTAAAACAAGAAAGCTTTTTCAGATGTCTGGTTTTGTACCCTTCGGGCTATTGTGCCACTCAGCCCACTTTATTTAATTCACAGAGGTCGTGGCTTCTGAGAGGTAAGTTGGTTAAATAAAGGACTGCTTCTGTGGGTTTTTGCCTTCATCCCTTTCCACCTCAGGCCGTTCTTTCACAAGCTCACTCCTTGGATAAAAAATCTACAGAATCAGACCAGAAAATATAAAATACTTGGAAACTGGAGATTTTTCTCAGGAAGTTGTTAGGTTTGCATGGGCATCATGAAGAGAGGAGTAAGTGGGAGCATAGAATCCACGCAAATAAAACCGTCACCTTAAGTAGAGAGAGAAAGCATAAATTCAAATATTACTTAGAAGGCCCTAGGAAATAGTGTTTTCTTCTTTCTCCTGCCTTTAGAACATTAGCCCAGTAGACTCACTGCAGCATGGTGACAATGCATAAATCTCAATATTTGATTGTGCTTTGATCAACTATGAAAGTAATATGTTTATTTTGCATGTACTTCTCAGACTCATTTTTTGATCACTCTCATTTTCATTAGGGTTTTGGAATATGGGCTGCAAGAGCCTTGACATGGAATAACTTAAAACTTTTATGAAAGTTTAAATCATACCTCCAAAGAGGGCTCCATTGGATAAATACCATATTTAGATAAATATTTACAGAAATAATTTCTATAGAAATTAAAGAATAAATGGGTGCAGAGACACATTCCTGTATTCTCAACACTTGGAAGCTGAGACAAGAGGAACACTGTGAGTTTGAGGTGGGCCTGAACTACATAGTTAGTTCGAGGTTGGTGTGAACAGCATAGTGAGGTCCTCCACCCAAAAAGTAAAGGGCTGCATTCCTGAGCCAAAGGTATTTGAAGTGTCATTAATGATACAATATATGCAATTCACTAGCTAAGCTATAACAATTAAAATATAGGGATGTAAGGCGGGGATATTTCCTTAATTGTTCATCATTGTATTTCCAGTTCCTAGTAAAATGCTTGGTTGATAATGATTTTTAAGTAAGAGAATAATGCAATGGATGAACGAAAGTCTTCTAAATCCAACAAAAATATCCCAAGAAAATAAAAGACCAACTCATCAGAAGACATTGCTGGCTAGATGAAACTCCTCTTTAATTACAGCCATTTCTCTTTGCTGTTAATATGCTTTCCCTAAGCAGCCTCACGCACAATAATTAGTTCTCCTGAATTGTTATATTCACAAGACAGTAATTTATAATTGATTATAAATTAATAAATTGGCCTTCTGTCACAGATTAGTCCCAGTTTTATGCAATAAAGGCTGAATAAACAAGTTTTCTGGCAGATTTTTCCTTACATCTGTAACCATATAATTTCTTACATTTAATGAAAGACAGTTTCATACAGCAAGCGAGTCACTGTACACAAAAAACTGTATTTTGTGTCAGTGTATCTTCCACATTTCAATGTCATGGTACATTTAGGCAACATTACTCACATCTTAGTTCTGTAAACATTCATGGTGTAAGGATTCAGTGAGTATTGGGTGATTAGGAAAACATGAAAACAATGACTTTCTCAATTTCTCACTGTCCTCTTTCCCTGTTGTCAACATTGTCATAGGGAAGAAGGAAGGTAAGAATGCCTTCTCCTTAAAAATCTTAGTTAAAATCCACTCTAACTGTATGTACATCCTGCTGCAAGTGTTTGCTCTTTCATTCAACCAATATATATGGCGTACCTATAGGGTCTTAGTTGACTTGTGAATTACTCTTAAACATGTAGAAGTGAGGAAGATGTTGGTTGGTGAGAGTGTTTTTGATAAATTCTAGATAATTGTTTCAGTTGGCTAGAGTTTCCATAAGATAATAGCATAGACTTGATTTGAAAAATGAAATTAATTTTCTCATAGTGGTAGAGGCTGATGTCCAAGATCAAGGCACTGTCAGGCTGGGTCTGTTCGGAGGCCTCTGCTCTTGGCCTGAAGATGGTTTCTTTCTTGTTTCCTCATCGTGTGGTACTTCAGTGTTCACACATCTCTTCTGTGTCTAGGCTTCTTAGGCAGACACCAGGCAGGTTGGATGAGGACCTGCCCAATGGTCTTATTTTAAGTTACACCCTTCTTTAAAGTTTCCTTCTCCAAATAAGGTCACATTTCAAGGTACTGAGTGAGAGTTAGGGCTTCTCTATATAAATTGGAGAAGAGTAGGAACAATTCAGCCCACGACACTAACTTAATGAGATAATATAGAATAAATGTCAAAGATCTAGGCGTTAAGAAGTAATAAAGTACAAAGTAGGATCCAATCTGTATAAACTGATGAAAACTTAATGTTGGCAAGGAAAGCTACTAGTAAGAAAAAGGTAGCTCTGCCATACATACCATTGGGAGCCTGAAGGAACCCTGGAGGATCAAATGTAGGTAGGTTTCTAGCTTGGTCTTCTACAAACTATACCTATCCAGGCCCAGACCTAGGACTGCTGATCTGATCAGAGGTATGAAAACAGAATAAAACACAAACTATATATTTTAGTTACAAGGAGCACCAGGATGATCAAAGCCCAATGACAGACCAACTTGAGGCATGGTGTCTTGATGGCAGCGGGGTGGGGCTGGTGAGCTTTTGGAAGCAAAGAGGATCAACTGCTGACACCGTCAAGGTTCAAGATTCAAGGAACAATGTGTATTTGAAAAATCACGTAGGAATAGGTCATGATTGACTAGTCTGCTAACTGTGATTTCTGGGCTAACAGAATTTGCAGAAGTCCTCAGCTGCCAGTGTTATCTTGCTTTGAGCTGCCAGAGCTTCACAGGCTGTTTACTGGCCTCAGCTCTGGCCATTGGCTTAAAGATTAATCTACCCCTAAGACCACTGAGGGTCTCACAACAAGTCGTGTAGGCCGAGGACAGACTCT